CCTTCATCACATTCACGGCGAACCCAATGTCTATTGAGGTAGGCACAAATTCCATTCAGAACTTTGCTGGAAAACCGGTAATCTTCCCACTGCTGAGTGTAGAACTTCAGTACACTCTCATCCATCAAGTTTTCTCCATCCTTAAGAAGATTTGTCAAGTAATCCTTCAAAAATTCTTTAAGTCGTTTGTATAATTCCAAGCCAACAAATTGCACTCCCCCAGGCATTTGCCCCTTTTTCGATATAGAAGGAGGGACGCCAGCCCCTCGAGTTTGGTTTGACTGGTGAACACTTGTGCAGTAGCTATAAACATGAGTGTAGAGCTCCATGTATCTGGATTTTGCCATACTCTGTCTGGTGTACACCTGCTGGATTCCGGCTCTGAGGTCATCCCAGATCTGGTCAAGGCCAATCTGCTTCAGTCCATGGGGATTCTGACTCCTGTTCGATGACATTGTGAGTAATATTCTGAAGTTGTCCAGTGCAGCAATCCTTATTCAAAGACGGAAAAATTCCCCTATTATTGTTGATGTATTTTGTTCCGTGTTTCCGTGTGGTTCAGGGTTTGGGGTCTACTGATGGGTACTTGGATGTTGGGGTCCAACCCCAGCAGGTCCCCAAAGGTGTCACATAGGCAGCGTTCAGGTGATCATCATAGCCAGGTTCCTCTAGCCAGGTTCTCCAGCCAAGTTCTGTTTTTTATTGTCTTGTTACATCTGTATTTATACCAGTTGATTTTAATCCTGTCAATTTCTATTGCAAAGGTTAGGGCGTTTCTTATCTCCATTCCAGGGAGTAAAGATTATGTAGCTTAAGCATGATTGTTTGTAGTTAAAGTGATTAACTACCCGCCTGGCACTTAGTTAAGGGGTTTTATCCCCTCCCTAACTTCAGGGGAAAATCCCTACCTGGGGAAACAACCTTTCTCAGAGAGGTGACCTTGCTTAAAACACATAGCGCTAAGGGGAGCAAACATATTAAGAACAGTATGCCATATACGCCAGGTCCCTTGAAACATATGCTGTGCAGATGTTTCTTTCCTGCAGCGACTGTGTCAAGCAGCAAGGATGGACTGGTTTTCGGCAACTTAGAGATTTATTCACAGGTATTTCACCTAGGTTCCCAAATACATACTTATTTGTCTACACTGTTCATGTGCTACAATGATTGGGAATGAAAACAGATTCTATTATTTTCATCAGCCATTAGTGTATAAATAAATAAATAATTACATAAAGATATGCCTATATTTATGAAATGTGTATCTAATTAGACACAGATACATATAGACATATAGATGTGTGTAATTATAATGTGTGTATAACCTTTTAAAAAATATTTTTTTATTGATTTCAGAGAGGAAGGGAGAGGGAGAGAGAGATAGAAACATCCATGATGAGAGAGAATCATTGATCAGTTGCCTCCTGCACACCCCACACTGGGGATTGAGCCTGTAACCTGGGCATGTGCCCTCACTTGGAATCAAACTGTGACCTCCTGGTTCAGAGGTCGATGCTCAACCACTGAGCAATGATGGTGTGATGGTGGGCTAATGTGTGTATAACTTTTACAATGAAAGTGGGCTCATGGAATTTTCATTATTGAACCCCAGTGACTTCCTGCCCATGGCCCTACCTGCCCCAGCTCCTGCACTCCTTCCACCATATCCCTTCCCTTGCTTACTTCACTCTGACCCCACAAGTCTCTTAGTTTCTTAAAGATACCAAACTAATTCCTACATCCTGGTCTTTGTCCTAAATGTACCATTGGCCCCAGAAAGCATTTCTCCTGATGTGAGCAGAACCAAGTCCCTCTCATCTTGCATATCTCAGCTTAACATCACACACCCAGAATGCCATTTGTTGGCCAATTTAACATAGCTGCCCAACTGTTCCAATTCTCTTAGGGATTTCTTAGCTTTTTCTTTGTTCCTCACTGGCATACTGTCTGTCCCTCTGTGGGTACCTCTCTAATTGCCCCTCCTGCACTCTGTTTGCTCTCAATCCTCTGGTTCCTACTCTAAGCACCTTATCCTCTCTGCCTGGGGGCTTCTTCTGGTCACGGGAGCATGCTCAGCCTGCACCAGGAGGCAGGCCAAAGCACCAGCCAGTTTATGTCCCAGAAGCAGCCCCAAAACAAATGGATGAAAGTTGATGAACCCTTGGGCAAGACAACCCTGAAATCCACTGTAGCATTGACTTATATTTGCCCATAGCAATTGCAATGAGCACACTTTCATAATAATCCTTCTCTCCCCTGCTTTCCTTTCCCTCTCCCTTATCTCTATCCTCTCCAAGCAAACCATTTGTACACATATACTTGTTTCAGGGTCTGCTTCTGAGAGAGTCCAACCTAAGGCACTCCTTCAACTAACAGGGGTCCTCAAACTGCGGCCCGCGGGCCACATGCAAATACAAATATTGTATTTGTTCCCGTTTTGTTTTTTTACTTCAAAATAAGATATGTGCAGTGTGCATAGGAATTTGTTCATAGTTTTTTTTTTAAACTATAGTCCGACCCTACAGCGGTCTGAGGGATAGTGAACTGGCCCCCTGTTTAAAAAGTTTGAGGACCCCTGAACTAGAATGTAAGTTCCACTGAAAGCAGGAAACATCTGGCCTCTTCATCATTACATACCTGTCATTCCAGTGCTGGGCACACATGAGGCACATGATAGATATTTGTTGAATGACTAAGTGGTCACATATGAATGCATGGGAGGATATAATTTGGGTATCTTTAAGAGGTCCTTCTCTGGCTCCTAAGACCTGCCCATCTCCCAATATAGAAAGCTCTTTTTTTGCCTTGGGGCCCAAGTATTGAAGAGAAAACACAAAAGCATATGGAAGAAGTGAAAAGACAATTTGGGCTTTGGGGGGGGGGTTCTAAATTGATGTGTAAAACTGTGTCTAAGCGTTGAGCATTTGATTTCTGAGAGAGAGAGAGGGAGGCTGTTTGAACATACCCATCATGAGAGAGTCATATGTTAATATCATTTAATAAAAAATAATTATCATAGACCTGTTAATTATTGACCATTCGCAAGGCGAGAGGGGTCCTGCATTCGATTGCAGGGAGTGAGGGAGATGGTTCAAGGGGACTTCCCACCCTGCAACTCTCAGGCAGTATTTTTCCCCTGACCTTTCCCTGCTTAAACCAAGCAGAACCAAGGGACAGGTGGATTTACTGAGATTGTTGGTGCTTTAATAAAGTTAATATGTTAATATCACTGAATGAAAAATAATCATGATAGACCTGTTATATATTTTCAGGAACAGTTTCAATTAATACCATGAATCAAACAGCACAAAGCTCCTGCCCTGACAAAGCTTATGTTTGAGTGCACAGAGGCAGTTCAAGGAGTAAATTTTAAAATGGTACAAACGATAATATCAGTGGTGAACATTAAGTAAGGTAGGAGGTGGAGAAAAATGCTGCTGTTTTACATGTGGTGATGACATTTGAGCAGAGGCATAAAGGACATGAGGAAGCAAGCTCTGCAGATATCTCTGGAGGGAGAGCATTTGAAGCAGATAAAATAGCTGAGGGCAGGACCATGCTGGGCATGTTTGAGCAGCTGCAAGGAGACTCTGAGGCTGGCTGGGTAGGGGAGAGAGAGCAAGATGGCAGGGTGGGACCGGGGACAGAAAGATAACCCTCTGGTGTGGAGTTTAAACTGCCTTATGTCCACATCGTCTCTATTTGATCTCAAGTCAATTAATCTGACACTTGGATATTAATGGAAAAGTTCATCTATGATAGAGTTGCTTCATGGTCACAAGATGGCTGCTGTCTTCCACAGCCTCAGGCCACCATGAAAGGAAAAACAGCAAATGTTTACTTATCCATGTAAAATTCTGATTGAAGAATAACATGCATATTGAAAAAGGCAAAAGCACAAATGTGCAGCACGATGAATTTTTCACAAGCTGAATATATTCATATAACCGACATCCAGATCCAAAGTTAGTCTACCTCCCAAGAGTAATCACTATTCTAACTTCTACCACCACATAGTATTTGCCTCTTTTTGAACTCTACATAAATGGAACCAAATAGTACGTATCCCTTTGCAATCTTTGGGAAACATGTTTAGGAGCTACATCTATGCTGTTATATGTAATTGTATTTTGTTAATTCCCTTTGCTGTGTGTTAATTATTTTGGGTGAATATACTATAATTTCTTTATCCCTTCTGATATTGGTGGGCATTAGTATTTTTCAGTTTGGGCTACTATAAATAGTGTTGCTAGGAATATCCTGGTCCATATCATTTGGTGCACATTTTTTGGTGGGTATTTAACAGGAGATAAATAACTGGGTTAAAGAATATGCCTCTTTTTAGATTTAGTAGATTCTGCCAAACAGTATTCCAGAATGACTGACCAATTTTTCCCCCCTTCAGGAGTGTATTAGAGTTTCAATTGGTCCATATCAGACAACTGGTATTGGTTGTCTTTTTCATTTTAGGTATTCTATGTGGAAGTATTGAATTGTAGTTTTAATTTTTCTTCCCTTCATGATTAACAAAGTTCAGAGCTTTATTTTTTACTGAAAATCAAGTGTTTATATTTTAAAAGCAGTTTACAAGTCAGTCCAAAGTAGTTATGGGAATTATAAATGAGGATATTTGCCAGGGTTCTTGTCCCAGCATCAAGAAGGGTTCAGGAATCTGGAAAAGGCTGTGCATAGATGACATAGGAATCCAGAGACTAATAAAGAGTCCGTAGATGAGAGACCCTTTCACAGGGGTCGCCTAAGACCATCGGAAAACACATATATAATTACATATTGTTTTTGTGATTAATCACTATGCTTTAATTATGTTCAATTTGTAACAATGAAAATACATCCTGCATATCAGATATTTACATTATGATTCATAACAGTAGCAAAATTACAGTTATGAAGTAGCAACAAAAATAATTTTATGGTTGGGGGTCACCACAACATGAGGAACTGTATTAAAGGGTCGCGGCATTAGGAAGGTTGAGAACCTTACTAAGGCCTTAGGTTCTCCCTTCGTCCCCAGGACCCCATGCTTTTTATTAACACAACTTGTCCTGAGGCAAGGTGGAGATATACACTTCAAAGGGTCAGGGTTTGGTTCAGAGTCCATTGTCAGAATCGGGGAATTAGCCTACGGCTGTACAGGTGTTTGGCCAGTAGGAGGCAATAACATGTAGATTAAGATGCCTTTTAGCTGTCTGGCAGCCACAATCTATTTAATGTATCCTATTCAGGTTTGGGGAAATTCCTTTAGCCATTCCCAACAGGTGACTACATGTGTGACTAAACCCTGTTGAGTCCCCAAGTCTCATCAACCTTTTGATGAAACTCTTGAAATTATGACATGCTGGAATTGGTCACCGGCAGATATTAATAGCCCCCACCTCACAAAGTGGGATATAATTCCATGAAAGGATCCATGTACAAATACTCAATATGACACCTG